TGATAGTTGGGCTGGACCCACCCGGTACTGAGCCCCGTTGGGCAGGTGGTGGCCGTTGGCTGAGCCCAGCGGGTGTCCATGGTACTGAGTGTTGAGTTTTTGCAGGTGCATGCTGGCCATCAGCTGCTGAGAGGTGAGGTTACCAGGGAGGTACTGCTGCGGATGTCCGCCCTGTTGCTGTTGCTGTTGCTGCTGCTGCTGCTGCTGCTGCTGCTGCTGTTGTTGTTGTTGTTGTTGTTGTTGTTGCTGCTGCTGCTGCTGCTGCTGGGGGTGCATGTGGTGGTGCTGCTGCTGCTGCGGAGCCTGGCTGTTGTACATCATGTTCCCAGACATCATCTGGTGGTGGTGGTGGTTGGCCATGGGAGCTCCGTTGACGTGGCCGGCCATCCCTCCGGGTCCCACCATGCCCTGCCGCTGTCTCATGGCAACCTCCATGTTGTTCTGAGGGTTCCTGCCATAGTGCATCACCTGGCCGTTGGGTAGACTGCGCAGGCCGGGCTGGCCATTGTGCTGCGGAGGACCGTTCATGCCCATCCTGAAGCCGTGGGTCATGGGCATCATCATGTGTTCAGCCATGGCTGCTCTGTCACCCTGAACATATAACACACATCAAGTTAGATTAGTAATTACAATCCATTTCAATCCAACTTTACTTACACAGCACATTTAAAAACAACAACAGTTGTACAATCAAAATATAGCAGTAAAAACACAAAGACCAGTTTAGAAGACAAAAGGACGATAATATAGAGATACCAACAAATACCAACAATTTAAAGGGGCAATCCACCATTTTACACAAGAAATTCTGTTTACTGATCACAAGGAGTTCTATTCAGCCTGAAACAACAGTTGTATAATGTATTTTGTGTCGCAGACAGCCTAAAACACAATATTTTCTCGTACCTAATATATAAGACAGGTGAGCAGCACCTGCAAGGCTGTCATCTTCATACGTATTCAAAGTACGAGATGCTTCAGCTGATTAGAGGACAGACCTCCACTTTAATATAAATAATTCAGCTGCTCCTGCCACACTGTTTGACCAACACTCTCTGTGATCCAACTGTTAAATTCACTGAGAAACTACAGTTGTCGCTCAAGACAGCTGATGTAGCCTGCTATCATCTACTAAAAGTAACCATTTATAGATTGTGCAGAAACAGACATTTAAATTAATCAAATGAATTTGTACATTACCCAGCCCTACCCTGGTGTCATCAGGGTTGTCTGGATTGGGTTTGAATGAATTGTTCTTTTTTCTTTCTTTTTGGTTTAAAAAATGTTACACAAAGTCTTCATTATGAACTGGCTTCCTAGGTGTGGGGTTCAAGGATATGAGAATTTAGGAGGCATAAAGGATCTACATTAAAGAAAGGCTATCCAGTTGCATTATGGGAATTGTAGGATCCAATGTTTTTTGATTCTGACCCACTCTAGAGATTAAAAGTCAGGATATCTCTGTCTCTGCTGCTTCCATTTAGACCATTCCTTCTTTAAGCTGCCTCTTGTGCCGCTGACAATTTTATGAAAGTGCCAATACTGAATCGCTGAAGTGCCCCTTTAAAACAACAAAAGAATTTTTTTTTAAATGTCTCTGTTGAAACCACTCTTCCTCTCCTCCTCAGTTTCTCTTTCTTCATTAGAGCGTTTCCAATCACATCAGAAGTGTCCCCATAACAAAAAAATAAATCTCCAACGTTACACCATCACTGAATTACCACTGGATATCACACTGACGAGGGAGGGCAGCAATACCCTTGCAGCCAAAAGGACGCAGAGGAATGCTTCTTCAGACCCCCCACACACACACACACACACACACACACACACACACACACACACACCTCTCCCCCCACCACCTCAACACACTGCCTCTGTCTTCACACAGTCATTACAAAAGATCTCCTAATTAAGATCACCTCCAGATGACAAACAGATCCTGTTGAAGCGAGGGTTGTTATTTCACTGCCAACGTGATTGGCTTGTTAAAAATTGATGACATTATTTTATAACCTGCCCCTGAAAGGGGTGATCATAAAGGCACATCCAGAGCAAGCAATGTCTGTGAAAAAACAAAGACATTTCAGGGCTTTTAAAACCCCCCCAAAAAAAAAGAACTCTGATGGTGCCCCTGGCTGCTTGTATCAATTCAACCCTTTTAGAGCTGATAAAGCAAGACACTTTCCTCTATAGCCTAAATCCTCCTTAGAATATTCTGCTCTTGTGTTCCCTAATTACACCCTATCTCTGGAGCTTCTTTTGCAGATCTGGATTATCATTCAGCCAAATGCCACTTTGTAAATAGATAGTCTGAGGGAGGATAATAATTGCTGGCATTATTACACAAGCATGAAACCTCTTTTTTTTGTCCCCGAGGACAGTGCATGTGGGCTGTTGGACATTATTTCGAGCGTAAAAACGCAACAATTTCATATAATGGGCAATAACGCTGCAAGTGCGCAAAGTGACAAGGTGGAATAGGAGCGATTTCGCAGCCCAATCCAAGCAGCCCGTTTTTATTCCGTAGAGAAATTATAAAACAGTGAGCAGTACAAAGGGAAAGTGCTGCCTCTCGACCTGTTTCGTGAGTAACAGAAAACGACACCTACCCCGATGTATTAATGTAGAATCCGTACGGAGAAGTTGGATCAGTGCCGGGCTTGTTTCTCCAGCTGATGCTCCGGCTACATGCAGCCCTGCGGCGGATTCAAACTCTGCGGCGTCTCGGCAGTCGGAGGAGTTTGTTTTCTGGGTCAACTCAGGGATTATATGCATCTATAAAGCACAGAGAGAAGGGGAGAGATAGGGAGAGGAGGAGCTACCGTCCTCTCCGTCTCCTTTGTTGCTATTGGTCCTCCCCCTTAATCACTGTGCAAAGAAACATTCACTAACTACCTCCACTGATCCACCGGAGCAGCAGAGCGCCGCTCAGCCGAGCCTGCCCGCCGCGCTGTATCCTGGAGAGACTCCACCGCCGCCTGCCTTCATTACCCTTGCACTATAATCCGTAACGATCCTCACCCTTAACTGAAAGATTTCTGTTTAAAGAACAGCCAGCACAACACAACTGAGAAAAATCCTTTTAACAGTTTAAAAAAAAAAAAAAAAAATCTTATTACACTGCGGAGGATCTGTTCACAATATATGGATCTCAAAAACAGCAGTATTGAAGGTTATTAATCATGAATCATTTTCATTTATTTAATAATAATGATAATAATAATAATAATAATATATAATTAAATAAATAAATAAATAAATAAATAAATAAATAATCCTTTACACCAGAATGTCATTACTTATACTTTATAGTAATGGATTACATGTAACTAAGGATACAAGAAAAATTTGGATACAAAAAAGGTAACTGTAATCCATTACAGTTACTGAAAAAATATCTAATTAGATTACAGTTACATTCAGTATAAATGGGGATTAATTAGCAGGATTCTTTCCATTTTCCATTTCATTTTCTTTCCTACGGTCACATTGTTCTGTTGTCTTGTAGAATACACTTGCATCGACACTTCTAATTGACATTGTCACTGTTACTTGTTACTGACTACATCTTTTGCTTACACAAATCTCAAGTGTATCAATAAACACTCTCTTTGTTTCATGTATTAACGTGAGGAGGGTTACATTATACCTGTGCAAGCCATGGGAGCGATGAGCAGACTGTCGGAGTGGAAACAGTTATGAATCAGTCATATAAGTTAAATGTCGTTACGTCAGAACTTATTCAGAATCTTTTGCAATGCAATGCAATTTCTAATGTGATACTTCAAAATGCGCATAGAAATAAGTGGAAATGCAGCTAATGTCTGCTCGTGGAGGCATGATGAATGTTTCTATGGTTATGTTTAGGTTCTGATAAAGTCAACCCTGACTTGAAGCACAAGATGGGACGTGTTTAAGTTTTTACGATTGAACCAGAATTAAATCTTTCATTAAGCTTAAAGTTGCAAATATTTGGCCTCCTGGGGGCAGCTGAGAACATCAGACATGTCGTTGAGCTGTTATGGTGGTGAAGGTGAAGAACTATGGCCTTTTCATACATCCAGGTTTATTAGAGGTTTTCTGCTGAATAAAGCTTCCTACTGTGAGTGAAATCTGTTGGGGGTGAAACCAAAACAAAAAGCTAAAAAGCTCCATAAAGCTGAGCGGAGCTGCAGAGTTTGGTTTCTTTGGGTTTGTCACTACAAGCAACTCCTTTCACATTACACATAGTCATTTGATCCATTGTTAAAATAAAATATTGATAAGCACAGCTTTAACCAAAGTGTTTTTGTAGCCTGAGACTGGTTCTCCAAAGATACTTCTCTGCATGGTCTTATGAGCATGGGCCACAGAAACTCACAGAGCAGCCAACACATGCACTCTTCCCAAATCCTGTGCAGGCATCAGTTGAAGTAAATGAGAGACAGACAATTATACAAAAGATCCATATGGGTATAAAAGAAACAGCCTCATTGCCTGGAAAAAAACAACTGTCAGTGAACATAATCCATGCAGCAATTACATTCCCCTCAAAATGTATTAGGCAAAACCACTTAGTAGTATAGAAATGTTATTTTTAGGAGACAGGATTACACAAGCCCACTAGGAGCCGAAACCAAAAATATGATGACACATCAGTGTTTCCACCAAATAAAACAAAACATTCAAAGTGACAGAATGGTAACATGGGAGAAACCCCAACTTTACCCAGGAAGAAATGTCCTGGTGAATTTTATGGAAATTACAATTTTCAATAGCTGGAGATTACATACAAAGCATATTTGGACACACCTTTTCAGAGGTAAAATAAGACATTTGTTTTATGCAAGAAATCCTACAAAAAGTATGAAATCAGTCAATCAGTCAATTCAGTGTTTGTGATTTATTTATTTATCAGCTTTGACCTCATTTGCATTGGTCAAAAGTACAAGATACAATTTGGCTTAGTGCAATCGCTATAGTACTCTCACTGAAACATGATACCTTGTTCTTTGCAGCATGATGGAAATCAAACCACCTCCATCCAGCTCCAGAGCGAGCACACACCAGCCAGTCCTTTTGTTTTGGCCTCCCTCCCCGTGTGGAGAAAGTCAAGCCCCCTCAGCAGGAGCCTGGTATGTATTCCTGTTGACATACACACACACCCTCTGCTGCAGAGGAATGTGTCCTATTTTTGGGGCCCCTAAAGTCAGCCAGACTTCCAGTCTTTCTTTCTAATGCTCGATTCACTTGACCATTGTGTTTTTTCTGTTGGGAGGACACTGTGTTTTGATCTGCAGTCTCTGCCTCCTCCATTTATTTAGAAGGAGCCGTTGTTCTCAGCAGTGATGAGTACATTGCTTGATTCTGGCTTATGTTGTTTATTTTACCAAATACAGCTGGACTTTGGATTCATGATTTTTCAAGGTGCAGATTTCCAGTGGTGGAAGTTATGTACATTGACTCAAGCACTATATTTATGAGTACATATACCAGAGTGGTATCTTTTATTTCGGGAAGTGAGTGAGCATATTTCTCAAAATGTCCCAACTTTTTGTTTAAAGGGTATTTATGAGATTTAAAACATGAATATAGCATTAAACCACTCTGTAAAGATATAGTGGGGTCATGGTGTCTCACTCTGCCTGTGTTGCTATCGCAGCCTCTCTGTGGTTTGTTTACAGAGCGGTCTGCTCCGTGTGCAGCTGAGTAGAGGGACTGAAACTGCTGTTTTTATCATCTACGTCGTTAATTAAGGATTTATTTTGACCAAATCAGAATTGGTGAATGCTGGAACAGTCAAAAGACTAACAAAGACGATTTTGATGAGTTTTATTTTGTTTCTGTCCAAGGTATAATGTTATGATGATATGCGATGAAAAATGAACGCTTTTTATCTGATGGCGAGTGATATTAATTTGACACCTGTTTCTGGTTAAATAAAAGGTTTATCTCTGTAGAGATACTTTTCCATAATGCTGTCAGACGGAATAACAATACGAGCCTCTCAGTTGCAAAAATAAACCTTTAGTGGACGTACATTGACACCTTTTTACTTTGTCCCCAAGGATTAGCTAACATTACATAGCAGCACATTTCACAAATATTTTCTCATCTAATTCTGTGAATTAAGGGTTGACTTTTGACCAAACCAGAGTTTTGTTTTGTAGTGTTTTTACAATTATCTGCTTGGTGAAATTACTGGTTTGAGTCTGGTTGGCTGTAGCGGCCATTGTTTTGGTCCGAGATGCTGGTGCTCTGTTACGACATCTATTGGCAAGTGAATTTTGTATATAACCCTATAAGTGCAATTTTAAAATGCAGGACTTCTACCTTTTAATGCCTTGTAGTACTTCTATGATACAGTATTGCTCAGATCTGAATACAGCGCAGATTTCAGGTAAAAGCTAGTGTAAAGGCAAAATAACAGCACACTTTTGTATCATGTTGGAGAGAGTTTCTTCTTCTCCATGCTATTGGACAACACATCACTCATTCCTTGCTCTGCTTTGTTGAACGCTGTCAAGTGCTGTTAGACATGGCTGCGTGTAATAATGTGACAACCCCTCAGACTACTCAGCTTATTTGACCTCGTCTGCTTGTCTGAGGATTACTTGCTGGTCCGAGTGAGACAGAAAATGTGTTCTGACAGTTAACCAATGAAACAGTTACTCTTGGTTATCGATCATTACTCATAGGCTGCGCTCCATCTATATCATGACTCAGAGGTCCAGCATACTAATCTTTTACAGCCTTGAGCCAATGTTATTGTGTCTTTGGACTGCGTGCCACATTATGTAATGACCACAGCTTCTATGCAAAGGTAGGAGGATGGATGTAATTTGTTTATGTGCAACTGCTAGAACAACACAACAACAGCACTGATTCACGTTCTCTCTGCCTTGTTTGTCTCTCTTTCTTTCGATCAAGCCTACTCATTTTCTTGTTTCCCCCCCCTCACAGCGTATACGTCCAGGTTTCATATTACTCACTGCTTCTTGTTCCCTGTTCTTCTCGCCCCCGCAGCCTTCCCCCCCACCCCTGTCCATTCACGCTGACTGTCTCTCCATTGTATGCTTATTCCAATAAGGGATTTATGTATTGTCACAACATGATTAATGCAGTTTTTCCAAAAGGCAATTATTGCCAGCAGAAGGGCAGAGCCACACACGAGGTAATCACAACAGACCGCTGCTCGCGCTGCGGCTCCCGCTCTGCCACTAGCCCTCATCCAGACAGAGAGCGCCGCGAAATAGATTTGTAAAAAGGTCATTGGAATAAATTGCCTTTTAGGTACAGTAAAAATGTGTTTCTATCTGACAAAAACGGCTTCTGAAGTCATTGAGCCGTATGAGTGGCATATTCATTACACTGTTATGTTAGTCTGTTTATGATATGATATATGATAAATTAGAGGATTATGGGTGTTTTCACATTTGTTTATACGATATGAACTGCCTAAGTGCCACTGTAAGGACATATTTTATTATTTTATTCTGTAGGCAAACAGTGAAAGCGAGGGGCTAAATGCTTTCTGCTAATTAGCTGGTGTGTTGACTTGGGTTCGGCTGCAGTGTCTTATATGGTATGCACATAAGATATTTGTGGAGCTGAACGCTGGAATCCCACATGGTTTAATGTTATCAATTATAGGCTAGGATGCTATTTGAAAAGGGATCTTTTTTTAATAATGTTGAAAAACTTTATCTCACAAAATCTAACCCCAATCCCCAAATCCTATCCCACGGTCACATTACATGGGCTGGATGGTGGAGAAGGGAAAGCTTTCCACGTCTCTGACTATGTTGTGTGTTGGTTACAAATACTGTAAAGTTAAATTAATTACCTTGAGTAACAAGACATTCATGTCTGCTTGACTTCCATATTAACGTGATATCATGGGATTGCGTATAAATAGCACAGCATGGACCTTTTGCATGTCCCAGCTACATATTTTAAGCTTTTCATGTGTCATTTAATGCTGCTAGAGGCACATTTTATCAGTTTTGGACAAGCAGAAATGGATGACGAAATGGATTTGATATTGCCACCCGAAGACTCGCGCCATTGGCATGCCAAACAACATTTTTACTTGAAGCTGCCACTTGCTGAAAGATTTTTTTAATGCACCTCTTCTTGCAGCAGTTTTATTATAAAAAAAACTTCTTTCCAGTAGTCTGTTCTTGTCAAGGTAGAAAGATCTTGGGACACTAAACCTCTACTGTTACCCCTAATAATAATATGTAGCATTTGACCTGATTAAAATGCATTAGAATTGGGCTTTTTGAAAAGTATTAGAGTACAATGAAAATGTGATGGATCAACGTGCTTTCTACCCATCATATCAGCACTGGACAAAAATGACATTATGAGCCTCATCTGTCAAACCACAGTGTTCACTTCCTTGTTGTGTGTCCAACAATAGAGGGGGCCTCCTCTCTTCTTTCCTCTCCCTCCTCTTATACTACTCAGTAGGGAGGGGCGTCCCACCTGCTGCTCCAGGTAGTAGAAACAAGAGCATATGTTGTTTTATTAGTCTGTGTTTGTGTGTGTGCAACCACGTCCGTTCATGCATGTGTGCTTGAGGTGCTGTTTCTCCACTAATGCCTGTGTTTGCATGGGAGGGGGAGGGCCGGCTCTCAGATTCCTGGGTCTCTTGGTGTGAGCTGTGTTGTGCTCCAGCGGTTCCATTTGGCCAACAACACCCACCCCCCACCACCATCCCAACCCCTCTTACCCCATTAGACAACCTTTACAAGTCCTGCCTGCCAAGATCAGGTCTGATCCTGTTAACTCTTTGCTTATTATCGTCTCACATGCTGAGGCTGCAGATAAACATGAGGACATTGCTGCCAGTGTAAATGTAAGACAACGCAACTGAACACGAAGCTGCAACAGGAAACTGATGTAACAGTGGTTTGTCTCTCAAACGACTTCCCCTTTCAGAGTAAGAGACATACTGAGAATTCTACATCTTGAAGTATTTTATCAGATATTGAGGATCACATTGTTACATTATTCTTTATGGTGAATCAGCTTTGATTTTCTTCAACCTGAACTCTCTTTAACTAATATTTGGAGGGTTTTGCCATATTGTATATTATATATTACAATTTAAAACCTTTTTTAGATTTGCCTCTTTTGTAATATCTAGCCATGCAGATGATTTCATTTGTCCAGGTTTTGATCATCCATCCAAGAAATGTCTGCCTTCATGCAATACAATGGAAGCGAATGCAGTGCTTTCTTTTCCCAGAAACCATGTCCCGATTACTCTGTAAAAAGCAGAAAATACACTGTCAACACTTTAATAGGAACTATTCTATCCTTGGAAGAAAGCAGTTCCACTGAGAACTGTAGCAAGGTGGATTATCAAGAAAAAAACAGGACATTCAGTATGTTGTACATGCACTTAAGTAACTTTAGCAGCCTCAGGGTGGATTCACAAAAGCAATTTGCACCCTAAGTTGCAGATAAATTTGTCAGTCCTGGAGGGCTCTCACAAGCTGATGCTTGGATCGCAAGTATGATGTGTGTTTTGATTAGTGAAATGTGTCAAAATGAGCGACAGGAAATTATTTCATGTTGCAAATCGCAGCTTGCATGTGGCATGTTTGGTGAAACATCATGAAGGCCTGTACCTGAAAAGCGGTTCAGGTAATTGTTTTAGAGGATTAGAAAAACATGATTTCTCAGCCTGTTTCTTAGCCATGTGTGCATGGATCGGGTATGCAATAGAGAAAATATTCTCTCCCCACTGCCTTCCTGCTACCCATCATCTGTCTCGCTTCTCTTCCGATATTTTCACATCTGACTCTGTGAATTAAGGGTTTGTTTAAACCAAACCACAGTCAGTAGAAAGAGAAACCAAGGTTTTAGTGAGCTTTATTTTGTTTCTGTCATGTTTAAATGAAGTGTTACGATGTTATGATGTAAAATTACTTTTTTTTTCAATTGAGTCTGGTGGCTTTGAACACAGCGATACAACTGCTGTTTCTGGTTAAACAAAAATGATCTTACTATTTCACACAAAGATATATCTCTGTAGGGATCCTTTCCATACCGTTATGGATGTCTTCAAATAACAACCTGAGACTATGAGTTGCAAAAACCAGCATTGTTAATGCATGTGAAG